GATTATTTCTGCTGTTTTCTGTGCACTGGGTGACTAGACACAATGCCCACACTTGGCTTACGTTCAGACAGTGCTGATGTCATTACCTTCCCAACAATGTTTGTGAGCCAAGGACTCTTGTGAGTTGTAGTTCTACAGGGTGTCTTTCATGCACAGGCTGTGATGTATTTTCAGAGTATGCTCCAGAACCATCCGCCTGATGATCACAGGCATTTATGAATTGACAAGAGTCCAGGGTATCAGGTGCTGTAAATCAGCAGCTTAAAGGATAAGTTCAGCTTTGTAAAAATAAATTAATAAATGCACATCTTTTTTTGCACATAAAAAAGAATGGTTATTATTTTCACTTTGAGCCTGCAAAGCATTACACCTGAATTCAGGTGCTATGCAGGGCTCTTGCAGACTGTCAGTGTAAGCTGTCTGCTTGTACCTTGTATGAGCAGGCAGTTGCACACTCACAGGGAGACTCAATGAACTACTACAGCACACAACAGTGCCCTGGCAGTTTATTGAGAACTGCAAGCCGACAGCTGCAAAGGTTTCACATTCACTCTGTGAATGACTGATGGTCGGGTGGGCAGAGTCCTGCATGGCCATGTTTTTCGTACATTGTGACAGCAGGTGTGGGGAGAAGATCCCCTGCTCGCTGTCAAAACTTGGCATCAGGGGGTGCGGGGGCTACTGCATCTGTAACATGTTACACCCTGAGTATAGGTGTAACATGTTACAAAGGGAGAAATTATCCTTTGATTATATTTCTAATAGCTTCATCTTTTAGACTAAGCTAATGCTGTGGACATAAGGGTAAACAAGGCCATACACAGAGCAAATTTTGGCAAGTTCCGGATGAATTTTCAGAATTCCTTTTTATGGGCAGGCTCACATTGCTGGCCTGAGGCAAGCAGTTCTGTTCTGACGTAACTCTTACACCCACGGCAGTAAAGGGGTTAAAGAGACTACCACTTTGCCCTGAATTGCACAATTACAGTAGGGGTCTCTGATGATTGTGAACTAAAATGATTCATACATGTTATTTAGCTTTTGCCCTTACCTTTAAGGCTTCATGTACACTGGCTTAAAAGTCGTTGCTTCTACGGGAATATTGTTTTGCCTGTAGAAGCAGCTCAGTGTGATCCTATGGGGTTTATTTACTAAAGCTGGAGAGTCCAAAATCAGACTCCCTTCTGCATAGAAACCAATCAGCTTCTAACCTCAGCTTGTTCAATGAAGCTTTGGCAATGAAACCTGGAAGCTGATTGGTTTCTATGCAGAAGTGAGTCTGATTTTGGACTCTCCAGCTTTAGTAAATAAACCCCTATGTGTCCATGCACATTAGGACGATTAGAGGCATATTTTAGGCTTAGTGTTTAGAGGCAGGAAAAAACCCTTCTGCTTTGCGTTTTTGATTGGAGCTTTCTGGCAGAAAGAATCGCTAAACTCGCCTAAACTGCGTACAAGCGCTCTATATCAGCATCATTTTTCTGTAAGGGAACTGGTGTTTTTTTTAAGCCCAGTGTGCATGGAGCCTAACAATGCTCTCAACTGCTCAGACATACTTGCTGTTCTCATAGCTCACATTGCCAGCATGATGGATTTGACATCTTCCATTCGGGTTTATGAGGTGAAGAAGAAAAACAAAGTGAAACATGGCTCACTGGCATTAACGATGATCTGGTGACAACATCAAGACCTTGTTGCTTTGCTATAAAATGTTCGGATTGAAGCGGGAGGCTTGTAAAATCAAGAAAACATTTGATTAAATTGTCTGTCTTCCAATACAATTCCTGTCACTGCTGCTTGGAGCTCCAAATGCTGCACTGGGATGTACTGCTGGAAGAGAAGATGCAAGAACATAGTCTGTGATTTGAGTAGACAACACAGGCCAGTCTTACCCCTTTATATGGCATTGCAAAGGTAGAGTGTAATGAAACCTGTATACAATATTACTACATCTTATACAGATTGTGTTCATTTGTGCTCTTCACAACAATCTCTGCTGTTAGTCATACAAGCCTACACCAGCACCACGTTTAGGTGGAACATCCCATGTGCGCTGCAAACTCCAGGCAGCTAATAAAATGGGTCTCAGAATTTCTTGTGCTCTCCAGGTATCCAGGATCTTTGCTGTGCTAAAGGCAGTCTGTTCTGTTTATTTTTTTCTTTAATATAACACCTTGCAACCAGATTTTTCAGGCCTACCATTGTGGATGTGGCTGCAAATGCTTGTTACCCACATGACTTACTCTACAACCTCTGTCTCACAAAGTGTGTAAATGCAACCTATTGTGCTTTTTGGTTCTAGCTTTGCCAATGTGAGATTGAAGGCCTCATAAGATGAGAATATTGACAGCTATAAGGATTTAGATAGAGGAGCCACTATGAGTGCTCAAGATGAATGACGTGATGAAAATTCTCCGTAAGTCAGTGTAAATATAACTCATAAAAAACAGTGCAGCGCTCTAGGAAACTGTATCTGCAACTAAATGCTAATAACACAATAACATTAATAAAATTGATATAATAGTGCCAAAAAACATTTAAATTAGTGCCAAACCATAATGAAAAAAGCATGAAAACAAAATCAAAAACATGAAGTGCCAAACCTTAACCATATAAATGGTGTATACACAGTTAGTAGTGATAGATTGTACTCCAAACATAACATCCAATAACGGAAATCTTAGCAGTGCTCACACAGTGCCACAAAAAAATAATAAATAAATATAGATAAATGTATCCAAAACAATGTCCTTTTCGTGAAAAACGACATAAATCATGCGATGTGCAATAGTGATGTTGAATGCAACACGTGACTGTGCCAAACTCCTCCTCGTTAGTGGCTAAATTGCCTCCTCACCTCCTCCTACTGACCCCGAGGGGCCAACAGGCTTGCAGGATCACCCTGGATCCTTAATAGACCATGACCAGCAGCTTCCTTCCTTCCCTGGATCTCCTTAGAGGGGCTCCTAATTCCCCTATTTGGTCAGGGCGGTCCTGAAGAATAATAGCTCACAATCCAGTGAGCCACAAAAAAGCCTCTAAGTGCAGTATTTCAATTTGATTCGGTTTATTAAAGAGAGTAAAAAAGGTTTCACTCACATTACAGACACTCTTTCCTCTTCCCTGATGTGTGGGTGTACTGCATGTGGCTGGGACCTCTTGGGTGTAGCAAAATGGCGTCTCCCGCCGGAAATGCGTCACCACGCACCGGAACTACAAACTCGCGTACCTACGCGTTACGTCACCTTCCACTCGTGACTTCATCTGGGTATCATATAACTGTAAATATAACTGCCATTCTTTATTAGAAAACTGTGTCTGTGGCTTTCCTTACAGGTGCATTAAAGCTGAACTCCAGGCAAACTGCTAAATACACAGATGAAATATATACAAAAGTAGTAGAGGATTTGCATTTCTGTCCATGCAGTCCACAGATTTTCACAGTTCTGGCACACAGCACAGCTCTGCTATGTAGGCCAGATGATCTGAATTTTCTCTGTAGCACTTGAGTAACACAGATCTTCTTCCTCCCCCAACCTGTGAGTCAACATTGAAAGCAGAAGCAACAGATTGATTTTTATCTCTATCACTATGCTCTCTCCTTATATCAGCATGTCTCTTGGTAGCATTGAGTACTGCAGCACACTTTAATGGTCTTTCTAAAGTTTAACTGTGCTTTCATGGGAGAAAAATATAGCAAATAAAAACAATCTATATATATATATATATACAGCATATATAATTGAGACCCAAGCCATACTGTTATTAAAAATGACCTTTACTTTTCAATCTGCATTGCTGTAATTTCCTGTAAAATTCAATGCCTTTTGGCAACCTAGAGGTGTACTGTACACAGTTGGTGTACAGAACGCCGCCAGAGTTGTAATTTCCTGCTTGTGTGATTGGTTCACGTGATGTCCCTAGAAGTCTGCATTAAGATACAAGTCAGATTTTATGCATCCTCTGCAATAAAAATGTCATTCTTTGGTGAGATACTCCTAAAAGGCTAATCACTTCTAAAATAATGCAGACCTTGCAGCTTTTGTGATCAGAGCCCTGCAAATGCATCAGCTGAAAAGGTCACTCCCATTCAGAATCAGTATCCAAATGACATAGAGCAGCCTCCTCTTCAGAGCAGAAACGGATAGGAATCTAGATAAGTTTACCTTTTCACAAAAAAATAACAAATGCAAAATTTTTTTGCAGGTAAGAAAATGTGCATTTATTATTTTTTGTTGTAGGAGCCTGTAAAGCATGCTGGTCTCCTGCAGACCTGTCCGTGTGTCTGCTTACCCATACATTGTACAGGGACGCTGCTACACTCTGACAGGAGAATCCATGAAAAACCACTGTGCTGTAGTACATTGAGAACTACAAGTCGACAGCCACTAAGGCTGCCAGGACTTGTAGTTTCCCATTCACATAGGAGAGTTTTTTACAATTTTGACAGCTCCCAGAAGATCCCCCGCTAGCTGTCACAACAGGGGGTGCGGGTCCTCTAACATGTTACACCTGAATATGTGTGTAAAATGTTATGAAAGGTGAACTTATCTTTTAAAATTCCTGCAATGTACATTGATCACATCCAGAGGAGATTGTATTTTTTTTATGCTGTTTTCTTTGGTTTGTTTTTTTTCCTCATCAAGAGTTATTCTTTAACCACCTCCTGCCCGCCATATAGTCCAATGACGGGCACAAGGTGGTTCTCTCGTTCTGAGAGGACGTCATATGACGTCCTCCCATTCTCACTGCACATGCGCGGCTCAGGGAGCGCGCAGCACGGCGATCTGTGGTGCGCTGTGTCCCTCGGACACAACGGGTCACCGATCACGGAAAGAGCCGAAGATGTCGGCTCGGTCATGTGATCAGCTGTGTCCAATCACAGCTGATCACATGTAAACACGGAAATGCCGGTTATCGGCATTTCTCTCCTCTCGAGCTGTCACGCTGACAGCTCGTGAGGAGAGGAGAGCCGGTAATCGGCTTTCCGCGGAGGGGACATGTACACTGATCAGGGCACTGATGATCAGTGTAGCCCCAGCAGTGCCACCTGCCAAAATCCATCAGTGCCAGCTGTCAGTGTCGATCAGTGCCAGTGCACATCAATGCCACATATCAGTGCCCATCTGAGCTGCCTTTCAGTGTCATCCATCAGTGCCAGTCAGTGCCACCTATCAATGCCAATCAGTGCCGCCTAACAGTGCCAGTCAGTGCTGCCTAACAGTGCCATATATCAGTGCCATGTATCAGTGCTGCCTTTTTAGTGCCCATCAGTGATGCCTGTCAATGCCACCTACCAGTGCCTCCTCATCAGTGCCACCTATCAGTGTCCATCAGTGCAGCTTATCAGTGCCCATCACTGCAGCCTCCTTAGCGCACATCAGTGAAGGAGAAAAATCACTTCTTTACAAAATTTTATAACAAAAACTAAGAAAAAACGTTTTTTTTTCCCAAACTTTTTAGTGGTTTTCGGTTTAAGAAAAAATAAAAAACCCCGAGGTGATTAAATACCACCAAAAGAAAGCTCTATCTGTCACAAAAAAATGATAAAAATTTCATATGGGTACAGTGTTGCATGATCACGCAATTGTCATTGAAAGTGCGACAGCGCTGAAAGCTGTAAATTGGCCTGATCAGGAAGGGGGTATAAGTGCCCTGTAGGCTAGTGGTTAATGATGTATTAATTAATATGGAGGTGCTTAAAGGATAAGTTCTCCTTTGTAAAAAAAAAAAAAAATGCAAGCACATTTTTTTTGCAGGATAAAAAATATGCATTTGTTTACTTATTTTCAAGGAGCCTACAAAGTATTGCACCTGTGATCAGCAGATTGCAGGTACAATCTCAGGTTCTTGCAGACTATCGGTGTATCTGCTTGTAACTCATATGGGCAGGCAGTTACTGAATGACAGGAAAACTCTGTGAACTACCTAGTGTGCTCAACAGCCCCCTAGTAGTTTATTGAGAACTGCAAGTTGTCAGCTGCAAAGGCTGTCAGTATTTGTAATTCTCCCATTCACAGAAATCTTGAATGAATAATGTGGCCGGGTGGGTGGAGCCCCGCATGGCTACAATTTTAAACAATTGTTGGTGCGGGGAGAAGATCCCTGGCCAGCTGTGGGGTGTGGGGGCTGCTGCAACAGTAGCGTGACATGTATACCCCGAATACATTACAAAATATAGGTGTAATAAAAGCTGAACTTTTCCTTTAGTGTGTGCATTACATCTGCATGGAGTTCAGCTGAAAAGCCTACACCAACCCAAGCAAATTTGTTTTGAACGAAGTTGGTAAGAGTTAGAGCCTGTGTCAAGTTTTTGTCTGATGGGGAGATCGCTGCATGAAACATTAAACATACTGTATGGCTTCAAGTGATTTATATGAGCTGTAGGGTGTATTGTTCCAGCAAGAGCAATGCCCCCTGTAAACTCACCACTCTGATCCAATGACAGTCGTCCTCTGAGTTGAATGACACCTAACATCATCCAGCCCACTTCCTGTGAGCACAGACGGCCATGGACATACTACCTGGAGATGCATCGTCCCTCCAGGCTGGGCTCACAGTACTCCTGGACAGAACATCGCTACTACATCACCTGAGCTTCACACTGTCCAGGAGTAATATATTTTTAGGCATGTAGATGGAAGAGGAAGGACCAGTGATATCATTACAGAAAGCTGCAGACAGTATATGAAAGAATTACACCACTACTAAGCACCCCCAGGCCCTTAGCCATACATTCTTTTGTATGGAATTCCTAAGTTACATATAAGGTTACCATTTTCAGAATCCTGGAAATGTGTGCTTGCAAAGGGGGGCCAAAGGACATGCCAAATGTTAGAAAACTTTTTCTTTTGTATTTAAGGAAAAACTAAACTGCAGAACACATCTTCTCTGTGGACTTTGTTATATGTGAGAGAAAAAAAAAAGCCTGAACTTCTACTTAAAATGTTTTAACTAAATCCACTAATGAGGTCTTCCCCCTGGCGGGCTGTAACAGTGCTTTTTCCCAGGGTTAAATTTGCATGCAACTAGGGTGTATATTGCTTTGTGACTCATAAACCATTTACACGTTTGGTTATTGCTTCAGGGCAGGGAAAACTATTACCAAAGAACTATCTGTCCACACTTCAGTACCCGTAGGACCTAATTTAGCATCTATTTTGTTATTTTATATGAGCACTGTGCAAACTTATAATTAACAGTTATGAGTTATTGTATATGAAGGCATTTGCTGTGAAATGTTGCTTGTATGGAAGGGTAACTTTGCATTCTTGAGTATCGGTTGAGGGCTGTAGACTGTTTTATGTTACACTATCAGACATTTGACATCCTTCACAAACTTACAACAGCAGCATGGGCTTGAAGTTCGATCAACTTCAGTACAACCAGCATGTTGGATTTTTTCGATGCGATCCGCTTCCAGCAGCTATAGCCACCAGCTGTGATCATTGCGTTATGCTAGCAGGTTAGGCTCCCCGCCAGCAGGATACATTAGTGCTGTGGGATGGATTCCCTCAACACTGACTGATGGGGAAATAAAGCAATTTTCTTGCCTTTTTCAACCAGGGTGACTTAAGGTTTCTTCAGGGGTGCCTTGGAAAAATGCCTAAAAATTGCCTGAAAAAATGTATACAAGCCAGCAGGTGCGTCAAGTCTGCCTTTTAGTTACACAAAGCCACAGGCTTTCATTGTGCACCAATACAACTTACTAGCTGCCCCTGACATAACCAATAATGTCATCTGTTGGTAAGGAGGACATAGGGCACCATCACAGCATTCTTGCTTGCCCCTCTCTGTCAGGCACTGGGGTCACTTTAGCTGAGTGAGAGAAACTGAGGGAGAAGAGAAACAATGGAATACTAGTGTGCAAAAGTGTATTTGCTTTGGAAGAATAAATCGCCTCTAACGGGTGTCCTACATGTGCAGATGTTGCTGCGTTCTGTAAACTATTAGTTTAGCTTTTTACAGTTTGTAATGGGTGCCTCAAGATTGTTCAGAATTTTAAAGGGTGCCTTAAGATTGTACAGAATTTTAAAGGGTGCCTTGACTGAAAAAAAGGTTGAGCACCACTCCCTTACACCTATGGTGGAATGAAAAACCTGCATAACCTATAAGCTACTGTAGAGAAGGCTGCTTGCGTCCCTTCTGCACTGGAACAGGAATTGAGGGGAATCTGCCATTAGGAACACTAGTTCTGGTAACAATTATCTATGCTAGGTTCACACATATGCGATGAAAATTTAAGTTTTCTAGTGCGATTCAGTCAGCATCTGCGGTCAGATTCCCTGCAATTCAGGTGGAAATCCAAAGCATTTTTAATGTGTTCTTCATAGAGTTGCAATTTTGGATTCTGCTTACTTGGTCTCCCTCGCTCTCATACAGGGCATTACTATAAAAACGCACCGGAACCAGGTCTAAACACATACCCGTTTCACATGCTGTTCCCATTAAACTCGCACAAGACCCTTTTTCAAAATGCAATGTGGCTAAACTGTGAACAATCTCCATAGGAATACATTTTGTTTCTCATGTCATTCAAATCCCTGCAGTTCAAAACGCATCCACAAATGTATTTCTGTGAACCAGGGCTAAGAAATGATTTCCTCTTCCTTACTACTGTGTCTCTAGGATTACCTACTTCGACCCACTACTATGTTTTTCCCCATAAGACTTAGTTTTTACCTTTCTCTTTTATACACTGCTCAAAAAAATTAAAGGAAAACTTTTTAATCAGAGTATAGCATCAAATCAATTAAACTCCTGGGATATCTAATCAGTAAAGTAGCAGAGGGGGTTAATCAGTTTCAGCTGCTTTGGTGTTAATGAAATTAACAGGTGCACCAGATGGGCAACAATGAGAGAACCCCTAAAATAGGAATGGTTTTACAGGTGGAGGCCACTGACATTTTTTTCCCTACTCATCTTTTCTGACTGTTTTTCACTATTTTTGCATTTGGCTTGGGTCAGTGTCACTACTGATAGCATGAGGCGATACCTGGATCCTACAGAGGTTTCACAGGCAGTCTGACTCCTGCAGAATGGCACATCATTACGTGTAATTGCCAGAACGTTTGGTGTGTCTCCCAGCACAGTCTCAAGAGCATGGAGGAGATTCCAGGAGACAGGTAGTTACACTAGGAGAGCTGGACAGGGCTGTAGAAGGTCCTTAACCCATCAGCAGGACCGGTATCTGCTCCTTTGTGCAAGGAGGAACAGGATGAGCACTGCTAGAGACACTAAAATAATTAAAATAAAATTGGCAAAATATTATATTGATAATATAGCCGACTCTCCAGAATTAAAGGTGGTGTCCTCAGGACCAATAGAATATGTAGCAAAAACACTGATTTGTGGGTGAAAGACCCACAATAAGTCCATAAGAGAACAAATCTGCGGCTTGAAAATATTTATTGAAAACTATAAAAATTGCAAGTAATGCAAATATCCCTCCACCCTACACAAGGATAAAACAGGATGACAACGTTGCCATATCTTAAAAACACCCACCCGGGCACACAGACATACCCTCCACTCACACTAGGACATAGAAATGGGTTCATGCCAGAGCCTTACAAAATGACCTCCAGCAGGCCACTAGTGTGAATGTCTCTGACCAAACAATCAGAAACAGACTTCATGAGGGTGGCCTGAGGGCCCGACATCCTCTAGTGGTCCCTGTGCTCACTGCCCAGCACCATAAAGCTCGATTGGCTTTTGTCATTGAACACCAGAATTGGCAGGTTTTCCACTGGCGCCCTGTGCTTTTCACAGATGAGAGCAGGTTCACCCTGAGCACATGTGACAGACGTGAAAGAATCTGGAGAGGCCGTGGAGAAGGTTATGATGCCTGTAACATCGTTCAGCATGACCGTTTTGGTGGTAGGCCAGTGATGGTCTGGGGAGGCATAGCGATAGAGGGAGGCATAGAGATGGAGGAACGCATAGACCTCTACAGGCTAGACAATGGCACCCTGACTGCCATTAGGTATCTGGATGAAATCCTTGGACCCATTGTCAGACCCTACGCTGGTGCAGTGGGTCCTGGGTTCCTCCTGGTACACGACAATGCCTGGCCTCATGTGGCGAGAGTATGCAGGCAGTTCCTGGAGGATGAAGGAATTGATATCATTGAATGGCGAACACACTCGCCTGACCTAAATCCAATAGAACACCTCTGGGATATCATGTTTTGGTCCATCTGACACTGCCTGGTTGCACCTCCAGACTGTCCAGGAGCTCAGTAATGCCCTGGTCCAGATTTGGGAGGAAACACCCCAGGGCACCATTCATCCTCTCATTAGGAGCATTCCACCGACTTTCATTTTGAGTTGCTGCAATAAAATATCAGCAAAATGGGCTAGCCTCTTGCATCATTTTTTCAGTTTTATTTTCGGGTGACTTTGAATTCAGCCCTTTGTAGG